CTCCTCTCCCCTCTCTCCCTTCTCTTCTCTCTTCTCTCCTCTCTCCTCTCTCTTCTCTCTTCTCTCTTCTCTCGTCTCTATTCTCTCTTCTCGCTTCTCTCTCTCCTCGCCTCTCTCTTCGCTGTTCTCTCTTCTCTCTTCTCTCTTCTCTCCGCTCTCTTCTCGTGTCTGACTTCTCTCTTCTATCTTATCTCTTCTTTCTTCTCTCTTTGTTGTCTCCCTCTCTCTTCTCTTCTCTATTATCTCTTCTCTCTTCTCTCTTATGTTTTCTCTATCATCTCTCATTTTTTTCTATTCTCTCTTCTCTCTTTTCTCTTCTCTCTCTTCTCGCTTCTCTTGTCTCTCTTCTCTCTTCTTCTCTCTTCTCTCTTCTCTCTTGTCCCTTATCTCTCTTCTCTCTTCCCTCTTCCCTATTCCCTTTTCTCTCTGCCCTCTTCCTTATTATCTCTTCTTTCTTCCGTCTTCTCTCTTCTATCTCTCTTCTCTCTTCTTTCTTCTCTTTTCTCTCTTCTCTCTTCTTCTCTCTTCTTTCTTCTCTCCTCTCTCTTCTCTCTTCTCTCTTCTCCCTTCTCTCTACTCTCTACTCTCTCCTCTCTTCTCTCTTCTTTCTTCTCTCTCCTCTCTCCTCTCTCCTCTCTCCTCTCTCTCTTCTCTTCTCTCTCTCTTCTCCCTCTCGCTCTCTCTCTCTCTCTCTCTCTCTCTCTTTCTCTCTGTCTCTCTCGTTCCTTCTTCTCTCTCTCTCTCTCTCTCTCTCTCTCCTCTCTCGTTTTTCCCCCTCCCCTCTCTCTCTTCTAGTCTCTCTCTTCTCTCTTCTCTCTTCTCTCTTCTCTCTTCTCTCTTCATCTCTCTTCGCTTCTCTTCTCTCTCTTTCTCTCTCTTCTCTCTTTTCCCTCTCTCTCTCTCTCTCTCTCTCTCTCTCTCTCTCTCTCTCTCTCTCTTTTTTTCCCCCCCCCTCCTTCTTCTTCCTCCTCTCTCTCTCTCTCTCTCCCTCTCTCTTTCTCTCCCTCCTTCAAGACCCGCGCGATTGGCATCGACGGTTTCCGCCCCCGACAATTCGCAGCGATCTCGGGCGGAGGCCCGTCGATCTTCAGTCGGATATTTTGCGCTGATGCGCTTGCGCTGCAGTCTTCCATCCTGGGCGCAGACCCCGATGGCCTCGCTGTTCCCCGGGCCGAAGAAAGGATCCAGACCCATCGGCTTCTATCGAAATCTAGGGCGTATAATGTCTAAGTGGGACGCACGTGTGCTTCAATGGTGGGGGCGTATCGCGCATGCTCATGGCGCATGTAACATGGCGCCGCGCAGGCGCGCGGCGGATGGAGTATGGGCGCAGTCTATCAGGGGGGGCGCCGCGCACCTCAGTTACATGCGCATCCTCAGCGTGATAGGTGACCTGGAACAGTTCTGTGAACGTGTGCGACGCGAGGGACTTACGGAGGCCGCAACCAGATTCGAGTACCCTCTTTCTGTATTGCAGTGTGCCCTAGCACCCTACTAGAGGCCGCGAGTGCATGCCATGGCTGGTCAGGTCTCGCCCCTGATTTGCCCGTGGCAGGGGGTAGTGGCGGGCTCCAGCGCGGCCACTTTCGATATTCAGTGCCGCGTGCTGCCAGTGGTTTCGGGGTTCGCCGCGCAAGGCTGGGGCCCTTCGCTGGACATGCGCACCGATGATTTCGGGCCCAGTCGCAGCAGCCGCTCTGGTCGGACAGATGCGGGGTGCGTGCTTGCCTTTCTGATCGACAGCTTTGCCAGCGAACTGGGCTTGCTTTCTGCCGTGGGGAAGTCTAACATGACGGGCAACTCCGAGAGAGTGCTGAGTTGCGCTGCCTCGAGGCTGGGCATCTACGCAGGACCCGTGGGAGGAGGGCCTGCCATCATCAACCTGGGATGCGATTTCGCGCCTGGATCAAATCGCGCGCAGCCCCAGGTCGAGAAGGCAGGGGCAATCAAATGGACCAACGCCAGGGGCCGTCTGATCAGGCTGTCGGCCCTTGCTGGGCCCAGTGCCACGACTCGCCCACGGGGAGGATCGGGCTGGTTTCCTGGAGAGATTGAGGAGATGAGACGACGTGGGGCTGCGACGCTAGGTTTGTGTTCGGCAGGGGCCAACCTGCAGCTGGCCTGGGCTCTAGACCCTGGCGAGGGCCCCATCGGCCACGCAGCGGCTAGTCTGGCCAGATACTGCAGAGTGGTGGATGGCCGCCAATGACAAGCTGAAGGTCTACGACGGCCTCTGCCCCCTGGAGCCCAACCAGGCCTTCGACATAGATGGGAAGCAATTTGAGGGCCCCAAAAAATTCAATCTGGGCCCAGAGGAGCTTCGGGGCCTTAGGGGCGTGCTCTGCTGGGCCCAGAAGGCGGGCTGGATGTTTGTGCGTGCTGCGAGGGTCAGGAGACCAAATGGACTCGAGCTTCTCCTCGCCGAGACCCCCCCCCAATCGCCGTCAAGGGCTATTTCGTCGAGGACCTCGGACAGGTCCTGCTGGGCCCCGAGATCATCGAGAGGCCCCGGGCGCCCGCGGGCACTCAAGGGCCCCCCGGCAAGGGCGATGAGATTAGAGACCGAGGGTTATGGGCCCCCCCGCCCGAGACTTTTTGGAAAAGCTTGAAGAGGTCAGCCAGGCAGGGACGCATTGAAAGGCAGGTCTTTTGCAGGAACTACGTCGCCGCAGAGAGGCCGCGCCGCTGGGGCTACCAGCTCTCGCTGTTGCGCAGCCTGCGCGGGATGAGCATGGACTCAGCTTGGCGCCGCGCAGGGGAGTGCACCGCAGAGGGCGCAGAAAGATCTGACATCGCCCATCGCGAGGTCGCGGCTCTGGCCCCATGCGGAGCTCTTCCGAAGATCAGTGGCAGGGGCCGCGTGCATCCCCAGGCCCGCGGAAGGCCAATTTATGCGCACCCTCGCGAGGATCGTAACCTTGGCCTCGTGCGGAGCTCTTGCGAAAGTCCCAGTGGCAGGGCCGGCGTGTGTCCCCAGGCCCGCTGAAGGCCCATGTCAGCACACCTTCACCGGGATCTTTGTCTTGGCCCATACGGAGCTCTTCCGAAGGTCCCAGTGGCAGGGCCAGCGTGCGTTCCCAGGGCAAATTTAGGCGCGCCCCTCACGCGGATCGCGGCCCTGGCCCCATAGGGAGCTCCGCCGAGGGCTCACCGACGCCCAATTTCGGCACGCAGGGTTCTTCTCTCTCGGGGGGGGGGTCCATGGGGTCGCTATACGGTTCCGTGGGGATCCCATAGGGCCCCATGCAGCTCCTATTGGGTTCCGCAGGATTCGTGTAGGGCCCCCATAAGGTTATGTAGGCCCCGTAAAAGGGTTTTGTAAGGATTAGATATGGTTTTCTGTGGAACCGTGAAGGATCCTTGCGTAGGTCAACCAGAGCCCTGTAGGATCCACACGGATGCATATAGGAACGTAAGAGGATCCCCACGGCACTTGGGGGGGGGCCATGCTCCTTCCCAAGGGGCGGGGGGGGGGGCGAATGCCCCCTTGGGTGGGTTGCTGGGGTTGCTGGGCTTGGGTTGCTGAGGATGCCCTAGGGGTTCCTAGGGCTTCCAATTTATTCTGGGGGCTCCATCCCTAGGCTTCCGACGGATTCGCGCGGATTCTCGAGGATTCCTAAGGATTCTTCTGGATTCCGAGGGGGCGCCTAAGGGTCCGGAGGAATTCCTAGAAAAATCCAGAGGGGTTCCTCTGGATTCCCAGTGTTCCCTAACGGTGCATAAGGGGTTCCTACGGATTCCGAAGGGTTCCTCAGGATTCGTAAGGAATCCCACGGGTACCTAAGGATTCGTATGGAGTCTTTTGGATTCGTAAGGATCCCCCAGGATTCCTAAGGATCCCAAGCAGATTCCCATGGATTCCCTCGGGACTCCCCATAGGTATTCAGATGGATTCTTAAGGATTAGTGAGGATTTCCAGGGATCCCCTATGGATTCCGAAAGCATCCGAAGGATTCCTCGGGACTCTTCGGTATCCCCTGGGATTCCTAGGGATTCCCAACGGGTCCTAGAGATTCTTGTGGATTCCGAAGAGTCGTTGTAAGGAGCTTGTATTATTAGTCGGAGTAGGGAGCGCGTACGATGAGTCGTAGTAGGGGATCCCCACTATGAGTCCTAGTATTGAGTACCTAGTATGAGTCGTAGTAGGGAGTCTTTAATATGAGTCATAGTACGGAGTCCCTATGATGAGTCATAGTACGGAGTCCCTACTATCAGCCATGGTACGGTGTCCTTGTATAAGTGGTAGTCCGGAGTCTCTACTATGAGTCATAGTGCGGAGTCCCTAGTACGAGTCGTAGTAGGGAGTCTCTGATATGTGTCATAGTACGGAGTCCCTAGTATGAGTCGTAGTAGGGAGTTTCTATTCTAAATCATAGTACGGGGTCCCTAGTATCAGTTGTATTAGAGAGCTCCCGCTATGAGTTGTAGTAGAGAGCTCCCACTGCGAGTCAGAGTAGGGGGGCTCCTACTATGAGTGGTAGTAATAAGCTCCCACTATGAAGCGTAGTAGGGAGCTCTTACTATGAGTCGTAGTAGGGAGCTCGTACTATGAGTCGTAGTAAGCTCCATTAAGATTAAGATTCGTAGTGGGGAGCTTCTATTATCAATCGTGGTAGGGAGCTCGTACTATGAGTCGTAGTAGCGACTCCCTACTTTACATCATAGTAGGGAGTTCCTATTCCGAATCGTAGCAGGGAGCATCTATGATGATTCAGATCAGGGAGCTTCTATTATGTGTCGTTGTGGGGGTCTCTGGTATGATTCAAAGTAAGGAGTCTCTCTTATATGTCGTGGTAGGGAACCCTTCCTTCGTCGTCGGTCGTCCTCCTCCCTCCTCCCCTTCGATCACCCTTTCACAATCCTGAAGAGCCCCTCCTTCCTCCCTGCTTAATTTTTCCCTCCGCCCCTCCCTCCTCCCCCACTCCTTGAAGCATGACGTGGCAGCGTCCCGGAAATCGACTACCTAACCTGCAGCCTCCTCCTTCCTCCCTCCGTTCGAGGTGGCGGCTGCCTGGGGCGTGCCGCAGTGGGGCATGCACGGGGGCGCCGAGTGGATGGCCCCGCCCTACGGTCGATCGGCCGGCGGCAAAAGGGGAGGAACCCGGACACTGCGCGTTAACGTTCACCTTGCGGCAGGTCCGTATCTCGTCGACGTGGTTCCGACCCCAGCGCGGAAATGTCATGCTCGATGGTTGGATGGGGTTTTGGAAGGTGGAACGTGGTAGTGGTTAAATCCATTGCCATTTCAGTTCGAGCGGAGAGCTGAACCCATGTAAAGCCCAGCGTTCTCTGGCAAGGGGAACCCGCTTTTCACGAGATTGGAATCGTCGTGACAGTTTAGAAACAGGAGTTGCCCATTCTCTTGGGTTCCGACCCCAGCGCGGGAATGTCATGCTCGAGCGCCGCCAGTGGCCCGTAATCCGCCGACGCCAGACGGAACCGCGTAACCCATCGGAGGGTCTTGATCTGTGAGGGGTGAACGGTCCACGCGGTGTCCGAAAGCAGCTCGCAGGTCGTCGTGGCACGAGCCTGCCGCGACGATTTGCTCGCGTGGCCCTTTTGCATCCCTCCTCCGCTGCCGCCTTTTGGAGCAAGGCTGGGCCGAAAACGCATGCAAGTCAACATCAAAAACAAAGAAACCTTAACCCTAATAACACGATGAAGACGTGGCCTCACTCAGGCCCCCGTCTTCGCACTAGGGATAATCTATCTATGCGGTTTGGTTTTAGACGTCTGTGGGAAACAAGCCTTAATTCTCTGATATTTTTGGCCCTCCTAACTTCGGTCCCCTCCCAGAGAGTTAAGGGCACATTCGTTGCTTTCAGTGGAGGCCCATGCCAAGAAGCACCCTGCTTGCCTCCAGGGTGCCCTGGGTTTCTTGGGCTTCGATGGTTCTGTGATGACCAGCGTGACGTCCCCACACCAAAAATCCATGGACGTCCTGGGGTCTCAGAGTTGGGTTTCTTGTGGAAGGTTTCTCGTGGTCGGACCCCTCCTGTATCAAGTGAGACTCCACCCGCGCGAAGTCCAGACCTCGACTGGGGGATCGACTACAACATTGATTTACCCCAAGATTGGTTTTCACGTCGACTCTTCAACAACAATACGCCAACCGTTCGCAGATCTGCGAACGCTCTACGAATCGCCCGTGGAGTCGACAAGAAAAAACAATTCTGGGGCAGATCGATTCTGCAGTCGATCCCCTGCTCGAAGACCGCCTCCAGGGCCTCGCCGCGTCCCCCTGGCGACCCCTGGCGTGCCCCCCTGCGGCCGCGCACCGCCGCGGAGCCGCCCCCGACGCCTCCGACGCCGTGCCGTGCCCCCTTCGGTCGGTGGGCCCCCGGGGAGCCCTCCGCCCAGACGCGCCAGGGGCTGCCTGAGGGGGCCACGGAACGTGCGAGGGGTCTGCCGACACGGAGCGGGCACCCACGTGAGGCCTGCAGCTGGGGCCCTCGATGGAGCTCCGCATGGGTGCACGAAGCGTGCGAGGGCTCTGCCAAACTGGGGCGGGGGTACCCCTGTGAAGCTGGCCACTCCGGCCATCGGTGGAGCTCCCTATGAGGCCACGAAAGGTGTGAGGGGTGTGCCGAAATAGGGCGGGTACCCACGTGAACCCTGCCACTGGGGCCGTCATCGACGCTCTATCCCAAGACCCTCTCGCGCTGTGAAAGAATCGGGGCGGGAGGTTGCTCGCTATTTTCGGCGTTCCGGGGCCCTTACCGGGCCTCGGGACCGGCAAACAACGACCAAGGGTGAAAAACCGGTCCTGGGGACGGGGTCCAGACCTCTGGGGGTTGACGTTGCGACAAAAATCACGACGTCGGGGGTCTAGGAGCTTTGCATGTCATATCTTCGACGCACTGTCATCGATCCTCCATCCTCGACTGACTCTCTATCATCGGCGCCCTGTTCTCGCCGAGCATCTGTCTGTCATCCTCGATCCTTGGTCACAGACACCGGGGCCCCTGCCCACTCCTCGCCGCCGTGGCCGAGCTCGCGTGGAAGTCACAGCGCGCCTCGACCCCACAGACCCAGACGTGCAACGTCCTGCAGACATCCGGGCGGAGGTTCTTCCTCGTTCTCGGCCTCTGGAGGCGCTGGCCGAGCCACGGGGCCGCCCAAACACGGCCCAGAGGTCCGTATGAGAGTTGCGTCGGCAGGAACTGGCAACCTTGCTATGTGAAAGATGGCCCAGCGCTGCGCGCTCCAGGGTTGCGAACGAAAGAAAGAAAGCACGGCCCAGGAGGAGAAGAAGCCGGCCCTGGGGAGAGGGTCGGGCCTTCTGGGGGTCGCGCATGGAACACCCTCAGGACGTCGCAGGTCTGGGGACACCAGCTTCTCGCCCAGACCCCCGACGCGATATTTTTTTCATAACGTGGACCCCCAGAGGTCTGGACCCCTTCCCCGGGACCGGTTTTTCGCTGTGAACCGTTTTGTCGGCGGTCCAGGGGCGTACGGGCCTCCAGAGGCCCAAACTCGGGTGTTGCTAGAAGTGCCCCTGGCCCAAGGTTCAGCCACGCGCAGAGGGGGGTGGGGGGGGGAGGGCTTCTTAGAAGCACCCCTGCTTCTTAGAAGGCGCGGCCCTTATCTATAGATGTAAGGCCGGCGCCTTCTAAGAAGCAGCCTCCTTCTAAGAAGCCCCCCCCTCCCCCCACCCCCTTGTGCGCGCCGCCAAAAGGTACCCCCAGCTTTTCGTTCCATCTTGGAGCCCTGGAGGCTCTCTGGGCCTCGTGAGGGGTGCCCCGGAGGCCGTTTGGGCCACCCCGAGAGTCCAGGGGGCACACCTTCGGGGGCGGCAAAGAGGGGGGTGATGACTAGGGGGGTGTGGATATCATGGCGGAGGCCATGATATTTCCCCAGATTTCATGGCGCCTCTTCTTGTTTTAATGCGTCCCTGGCCCCCCCGCTGGGCCGCGCACGTGCCGCCAGCCATGATTTGCACCCCCCCTCTTGGACGCCCCCCTCTCTGCCGCCCCCGACACCCCTTGGGCCAGAGGCACTGCTAGCAGCACCCGAGCAACAGCGAGCGAAACCTCCCCACCCCGATGCTGCTCACGGCGCGATGGGGGGCCTGGGAGAGCGGCCCCCCGAGCACGGCGCCTGGCGCCTGGACCGATGGGACGGCTTCCCACCACCAGCACCACAAGTTGGCGGGGGCAAGGAGGCGGAGGACGAGGAGGACGAGGACGAGGAGGAGGAGGAGGAGGAGGAGGAGGAGGAGGAGGAGGAGGAGGAGGAGGAGGAGGAGGAGGAGGAGGGGGAGGACCCCCTCCCCCTCATGCACCGACCCGCGCCGCGGCGCCGGGCGTGCCGCCCGGCCCGGCGCCCGCCCGACCGCCCGAGCGAGGGCGGGCCCGGGACCGGCCTGGCCCGGCGGCCCGAGCCGATGGGGCCCGCTCGACCCGGCGCGGCCCGACCGAGCGAGGCCCCGCTCAGCCCGACCAGACCGCTCGTTCTCAGAGGAGGAAAGGGTACCCGTGCTTCTACCCTGTCCCCGTTTTCCCTCTCTTGGGCCTCCCGGGAGGCCCTCGTCGCCGACGCTGGATTCACCTCGAAGTTTTGGTCAGAACGCATCTCGAGAGAGGTCCAGGGAGTAGCGGTATCGGTACCTTTTGGTTGCCCCACGTTCGGGTTCACCCGCCCGCTTTCGCCCGCATGCGATGGGGCCTCGAGGGGGCCTCCCTCGAAGAAGAGACAGTGGCATAAACATGAACTTCTGGCGCTCCGTCCGGACTTCTTGGATTCGCGTTGGGGCCCCTCGGAGGCGCCTCCAGCGCCGCTCCTGGGGGTCCAGCGCATTTCCAAGAAATCCGCGCCGAGCGCCAACAGTTTCTGCTTATTTTTCGTTTTCTTCGTTTTCTTCTTCTTCTGTTCGATGGGGCCTCCCCCGACAACAGAGCTTCGAGGGCAGAGTCTGCCTGCTTCTAGAAGGCTAAACTCCCGGGCCTGCGCCAAATATTGTTCTGACTTTTTGAGCCACAGTCGTCAATAGACGCATTAGGTGTCGTTGCGTATGTAGAGATCTTCGGGATGGATACGTCTATAGACAACGCGGCCGTTGCGCTTGGCGCAGTACAGGATCGGAGAAAGGATTGATCCGTCTACGGTGCACTCCTGTTCTATGCAGGTCCCGCATGGTATTCCAAACCCGAGCTCAGGGCCTGTCCAGGGGAAGTTCTGATCAGAATCTCGAAGTGGATCCAGCCGTGGCGACGAAGACGCCCCCCCAGACTCGCTAGAAACCCGAAAGTCGCAGAATAATGCAAGACCGAACCTCTATCTTCGATCCTCGATCTTCGATCGCCACCACCAGGCTGGGTCAGGGCCAGCTCTGCATCTTGAGTCGTTTTTCGACGGTCCTAGGGTCGGTAAGCGGCCTCCATGGACCGAGACTAGCCAAAAAAAACATCATGTTTTTTTCGGGATCTGGGGGAGGGTCAGAGTAAGTCCGCCCCCTCCGATCACCCTGAACCGCAAAATGATTACGTACTCAACTCATCCCATCATCAACCCCCTCCTCCGCCCCCCGTCCTCCTTCCTGGCGCCCTCCTGGATTGGCCCACCCCTTTCCTTCCATCTCACCCGTCCCTGCCAGTGCCCTTCTCTCCTTCTCTCTTCTCTGCCCCATGCCGAGAGCGTGCAGTCAACCCGCATAGAAAGGATAGGCAGCCTTCCCAAGGGTACCCTTGCATCCTTGCCTCCTCGGCCCATCCTTCGCCGCTTTCGCTGGCCGCGCTCCGCTCGAAAAGCTTCGAAGTCGGCGTCCAAGGCCCTTGCATCCTTATCGCGCATCCTTACTATACTGGTTGACTGTACTTACCCTTCAAGTGAAAACAGCACGCTGAAGGACCACTCGCCCCTCGAGCGATGCAGCCACGGGGCTGCCGTGTCTCGGGGCAGCGGAGGCGGCTTCCGGAGGCCCCTTGGGAGGCCTCCACTGGGAGGCTCCCCGGGAGGCCTTCGAAGTGGGCCCCGGACGTCCAGACGCGCGCCCGAAAACCTGCCTTAAGTCGGGCCTGTCCCTCTACAGGAAGAATATTCAAACACAGTAAAAAATAGTCAGGGGACGGTGTTCTGACTACTTTTGACTATGCTGGAATATTTTTTTGGTATTTTCTAATATTTCGTCCAAAATCCCCCTGCAGGGGGACATGCCCGACCTAAAACTTGCCCAACAGATCAATCGAGGGCCGATGACGATCAGTATCCAGCGATGCGTGACGGTGGTGTCGATCGCTCCTCATTTGCGACGAGCACATGTGCAGCCCAAGCCAGTACCGTTTCAGCACTGCCTGCTCTTCGGAGATCTCGGCACAAAGGAAATGGATGGCACCGCTGAGGCGCCCTTCGAGCAAGCAGCGGCGGCAAGCTCACACCACAGCGCTATGGGGAGCTACCCGACGCTTTTTGTTGGGGCGGGGGCGGGGGGGCGAGGGCAAAGGACCGAGCAGGCCCGGCCGATTCTGGGCCGCGGGCCAGTGTGTGTGTGTGTGTGTGTGTGTGTGTGTGTGTGTGTGTGTGTGTGCCCTCCTGCCCGAGCCAGGAGGGCGTACACGCGCATCCTCTTGGCATCGCTCGGACGTGTGCACTCTTTTTCCGGCAGGGGACCATCGAGGAGTATATATCCTGGGCCACCTTGCGGAGAGATGCGCGCACGACGCCGAAGAGTGCACAGGGAACGGACCTCCGAGCGATGGCGAGTCCTAGGCCCTGGATGGGCCTGGCGCCTTCCTATCGGATAGGAGGAGGGGGGGAGAAGGGGGAGGGGGAGGGGGAGGGGGAGGAGGAGGAGGAGGAGGAGGAGGAGGAGGAGGAGGAGGAGGAGGAGGAGGAGGAGAGGAGGAGGAGGAGAGGAGGAGGAGGAGGAGGAGGAGGAGGAGGAGGAGGAGGAGGAGGAGGAGAGGAGGAGGAGGAGGAGGAGGAGGAGGAGGAGGAGGGAGGAGGAGGAGGAGGAGGAGGAGGAGGAGGAGGAGGAGGAGGAGAGGAGGAGGAGGAGGAGGAGGAGGAGGAGGAGGAGGAGGAGGAGGAGGAGGAGGAGGGGAGGAGGCGGAGGAGGAGGGAGGAGGAGGAGAGAGGGAGGAGGAGGAGGAGGAGGAGGAGGAGGAGGAGGAGGAGGAGGAGGAGGAGGAGGAGGAGGAGGAGGAGGAGGAGGAGGAGGAGGAGGAGGAGGAGGAGGAGGAGGAGGAGGAGGAGGAGGAGGAGGAGGAGGAGGAGGAGGAGGAGGAGGAGGAGGAGGAGGAGGAGGAGGAGGAGGAGGAGGAGGAGGAGGAGGAGGAGGAGGAGGAGGAGGAGGAGGGGAGGAGGAGGAGGAGGAGGAGGAGGAGGAGGAGGAGGAGGTGGAGGAGGACGGCTCAGGCTGAGCCAGACGGGTCGATCTGGAGCCTCCCAGTGCGAAGCCGCTCTTTGCTCTCCCATCACCGCCAGGCTGGGACGGCTACGGGGCCGCCGCGGCCGCGGCCTCTGGGGAGGCCGCCGCCGCGGCCTTCATGGCCGCGGCCACGGCCGCGTCGCGGGCGGCGACCGCGGCGCCCGCCGCTCCCGCCGCGCCGGGCATGGTGCGCCTCCGGGGTCTGCCGTTTACCTCCACCGAGCAGGACCGCGGGGGGGGGGGGGGTGATGGCGAGAATAACCGTTGGCGCTTCGCGAGTCCCCATCAGCTGAGCTGGCCCGGCCGGCCGTTCCGCGCCCTGTAGCTAATTAGGTATGTTTCCGTGCCCCGGACAGCTTCTGTCTCCGCCTGTGCTTTCGCTCGCGGACGCGACCGAAAAAATCCCCATCAGCCCATGCAGAAGTCCTGCCCATGAGAGCTGACGGGAAAAGGGGCGAAGAGACGCATATACGTGGTGAAGCAGAGCGTGCAAGGAGAGGAGGGGGAAGAAGGGCTGTTCGAAGAGGAAAGGAAGACACCGTCAGACCCCCTGCGCCCAGAGGGCTGGCGGGAACTAGTCCAGCTGCGCTGCCGCGCGGTGCCGCAGCCGCCTCTGGGGGGAGGCCTCGTTTGGGGGGCCTCGCTTGGGGCCTCTCGGGGTCTGGTGTGCTCTTGGGGGCCTCTTGGGCCGTCTCAGGGCGCTCCTGTGCGGGAATTTATGCATGACGACCGCCTTGAGGGCCAGTTTTCGGAGCCTCGGCAGGCGGTGGACATGGACATATTCGGGCCGCCGAGGGCCGATATATATATATATATATATATATATATATATATATATACATATCCGCCGCCCGCTGGGGCACCAGGAAGTCGGTTCCCAGGCGGTGGACATGGATCAGTCCCCGCCTCGCATCCTGGCCCATCTGACGCCTTCGGAGGCCGTCTCGGGGGCCTGCCTCTCTGGCCCGTCTGGCTCCCACGGGGCACAGTTGCCCGCAGGGGCGACGACTGCCATCACACGTGTCGAGGCATCTGCACGGGGCGGGGCAGCCCCTCGAGAGCGCCCTGGTGGCCGCGGCGGGATTGTCCTTGCGAAGGTCTGTGCGCTCCGAGGCGCATCCAGCCGTGCCGACGAGAACGCCCCCAGCGGCCCAAGAAGGGCTAACAACTCAGAAACCTCGGTTCTCGATCCTCGATCCTTCTCCTCCTCCTCCTCCTCCTCCTCCTCCTCCTCCTCACCTCTCCTCCTCCTGGATTGAGTCAGGTCGACGTAGTGAAACCTGTGTCGGCGAGGTGCCGTGCCGAGCTGGGTGCCTCCGCGTCTAATGTCACCGGGGGTGGCACCGCGCCGTTGGCCGTGGCTCGCCCCCCCTCTGGAAGAGCAAGAAGTCCCAAAAGGTCTTCTCCTCCTCCTCATCCTCCTCCTCCTCCTCCTCCTCCTCATCATCATCATCATCATCATCATCCCCTCCTCCTCGTCCTCGTCCTCCTCCTCCTCCTCCTCCTCCTCCTAACCTCCTCGTTCTCCTCCTGCCCCCCTCCCCGAGGACGTGCTGGCGTTCTTCGCTCAGAACGACATCGTGGAGCGCGTCGCCGACGGCCCGAAGGCGGTCTCGCTGCTGGTGCGGCCGAACGGGCGGCCCACCGGCCAGGCCGGCGACGACGACGACGACGTCGACGACGACGAGAAACATCGCGCAGGAGGTTCCTCCTTAGGTTTCGGCTTCCGGGGCCCGTTTCGGAACCGAGGGCCACGAAAAATATACCCAGGATGAAAGACCTGACATCATGGACCCCGGGAGGGGTCCAGGGATTAGTTTTGAGCGGACTTGCGTACGACGACGACGCCGACGACTCCGACGACGACGACGACGATCGAGGTTAGAGCTTTTGTGCACTTTTCGCCTTCTGCTGACCTTCTTGAGGCCTCTCGTCCCCACCGCTGGATCCGCCTTGAAATTCTTGATCCGCTTGGAGCTGCCTTGGCGATGCCATCCGCAACAGCCTGCAGAAGCTGGTCGAGGACCCCGCCATGGGGGTGGTCATGTACACAGTCTCCGGCCTGCACCCCCACCAGTTCTCCATGGCCGACACACCAAGACAGCCAGGCCTCTTCGACCGTAAGGCGTGGAATCACCTACGGTTCTGCTACGACGTAGAACTGGGCATAGACGCCAGCAACCTTGTCTACAACATGACGTGGGCAGCCCTGGTGTGGTTCCTTGGCCTGGGCACCCTGGAACGACGAGAGCCTAGCCGTCCCCACCGAATCGCTCCCACCCCTGCCCAAAGTGAGGGGCGTCAGCCATCGCCTAAAGGGCACCAACCGGTGCACCCCCCCGAGATCTTGCACCAGTTCCCCGGGGCATGGAGCGCCGACACGGGGAGGTGTAAGAGGCACCGCGCCCACCCAGGAATGCAGCACCTAAAGTCCCTTCTCCAAGCAGGCCAAGCCAACTCGGTGCTAAGGCGCTCTCTTCTCAGCAGCGACGGCAGCCCCCTGGACACCCCCACACTCAGAGTTCTCCTAGTCGTCATGATGATCCAGCTGCGCGAGCCTCGTGCAACACTCTGGCCGTTCCCACATCCGGAGGCCACTGGGGACATCATAGAGGCAGCCATGGGCATCTGCTTTCCGTGGCAGAACGTCCACCTCGATTACAGAACCGCTTTCGCAAGCGCATGGGGCTTCCCCCGGAGTGCTTTGACCACTCTACATGGGAAATTCGAGGACGCCATCAAACACATCAGCATGCTCGCCACGTACGCGCACCACCACAGGGTCGCCGTCGAACGCGGGTGCCCACGGACTTGGGCCGGCATGCTGAGCAGCAAGTTCCCCCTGGAAGCCCCCATGAGGGTGCTGGAGGCGCTCGTCCAACCGGCCGTGATCAGTTCCTTGGGTACTGCACCCTCCACAAAGAGCTCAGCGGGTCAGAGGAAGGATTCGGAGGCCCAGACGCCATGACAGCCCTGGAGTACATCGGAGGAGGCATTGCCATGCCCAACAGGCGGCTCGACGAAGACTCCCCAGCCTCCCCGGCCCCCGGAACTCTTCTGATCCCACCAAGGGTGACCGACGACAGGTTCGGCTGCGACCTCGAAAACGGCCGCTTCGACTGTGACGGGATCGACTGCCACAAGAGAGGACTCAAGGCCACGGCCGGCACCTGAGAAGACGATGGCACAAGGGACCTCCTAGCACAGAGCCGTTCTCAGGCGTACTTGCGAGGCAAGAGCTGCAAGTGGTTTTGCGAGCGATGCTGGATCAAATCCGTGGAAGGGAGGGGCATCGAGACACCCCTCGCCTCGTGCGACTGCGGCCACAAGAGGTCGCTACCGATGCGACTGCAGTACTACAGGGGCATAGTGGAAGAGTCGCGTCACGACAGGAAGTCCAGTACACTCCCTTCCTTGGCTCGGCTCCCGATCGGATATGGGCGTCCATATATGGCCCCGACCCCTACGACCTTGCGCGACCTCGTTATGAAAGCCCCCCCGGCCTACAGCCCCCGCGCAGCTGGCACGACCCTACCTGCTCACAAACTGACAGATGGGAGCATCGGTCTCGAGTCACACTCCACCGGCGCCTACTCTGACCGGTGCGACACCTGCCCAGCGGGATCACCCTTGTTGGAGTGGGCAGCGACCCGCCCAGCGCTAGGCTGCTTCCTGTGGAACCCAGAGCCTGAAGCACCCGCCGACGACAGTACTGGTCTACCGCCATGGGATCTCATGCCCGCCCTCTGGACCCAGCGGAGGTGGAACGCCGGCTGGGCTTGTGGGCGGTGCTTCACCCACATCTGGAACGTGGCCCCAGGTACGCTCGACTACATTCTCGACCGACAGTCCTCGCGCATCTACCCCACGGCACCAGCCAAGCGGGAAGCGACAGCGGAAGTGGTAGTTGAGCGCCGCGACATCGCCGTCTACCTCACCCCCGGCTGGCCAACGCCGCAGCTCCAGACGCCTACACAAAACCAGCTAGCCGGAGGGCCGACCCTCCCCACCAGCACCGGCCAGCCTTGCTCCGACGGTGAGAGCAGCGGGCAAGACGCCGACGCTCGGGACATCAAGTCCCTTTTCCCCTACATTCCCCCGCCTTCGGGGCCCGCCCTACCAACCCACTCTGCCTCTGGGCTCACAGAACAGGAGTCTCATAGCGCCCTGCGCTCGTTGGTTAAGTTCCTGCTAGAGTGGGCCCCCACCAATTGCGAAAAATGGGTGGAGTACGTGTCGGAATACGGCGTCGGGATCACGGGCGTCAAGACCAGCGAGGAGTCTTGGCCCCCCCAATGTCTGCGCCTTTTCCTGGTCAACATCTATGGGGGCACGATCCCAGACAACTGCCGTTCCCCAGGTATCCCATGGGGCAGCCAGCGGGCTGCAGCGGCACGGGTGGTGCCCCACCTGACGCGGGCCAACGTGATGCATGCGAGCAAGTGGCAGGCATGCGCAGCCAACCTTGACGAGCAGCGAGGCGCTTGCCCTCTTCGCCACAGTCTCAGTACCCTACTGCAGTACCTCGTAGACATGGACCCTACGACCCTCGCCGACGGCACCGTCAAATCACTGGCGAGCCTAGACCCAGTTCAGACCGCCACGGAGTGCGCGGCCACAGCAAGCTCTCCAGCGGCATATTGGCTGAACAGACCCGGCGAGGTAGCAAACGCCCCCCCATCAGACAGCCAGGCTCGGGAGCAAGAGGCACCTCCAGGTCACTCCCCCAGGGCGGATGATGAGACTCCCGGCGACGATGGGGCCAACGACCCGCCCGCGGACGTGCAGGGCTCGTGAGAGCAAGCATGCAAGGCCGAGGGCGAACGCGATGCGCCCGACTGGGGGGGGGCGAACCAGGAAGCGCATTAGCCACAACCAAGGAAACGAGCCTGATCGCGAGCCCAGAACCGGCCGCCGACGAAGACGAAGGAACAGACCTCTTCGACCCCCTAGGTGATTTCACGGATGCGCCCCCAAGTGGCAAGGCCTGCGCCCCCTATTCGCAGACCGTTCACCGGGTTGCTGCCCTGGAACTCCGGAGTGCCAAAGACAGCTCCGGAAGGGGGGGCGCATCATCCTGTGATCGCGCGGGGGCCAGGGCCGACCGCGCGCCCGACCGCGCTGCGTGGGGCCGAGGACGCGACCGTCCCGCCTCGGAAGATGCTGAAGACGGGAGAGGGCGCGCCGCCAAGTCACCAAGGGGTAACCTCATGCGCACGGAGGCCCGCTGGGCCCCCTGGAGGGACAGCAGGGGTGCTCAGCCATACTACGAGAACCTCAACGACCCCATGGGTGGCGGCCCCATGTACAAATTCACTATTGCAGCTGCAGACGTAGAAAGGAGCGAACCCATCCAGGACAATATCACACGCCTGCGAAAGACTTTGGGGGGCTCCTTCAACGGCATTTGGCATGCGTGGGTTAAGCGGGCTGCCCTGGGTCAGGACCCCAAGGGGGGCTACAAGAGCAATCCCAAACAAAACGCACCCCAGACGTGCGCGGACTTCCTGGAAGCATGGGCCAACGCCGGCCATGATGCATATCGGATGGATCGAGAACTCAGGCTCGGCGTAGATTGGGCTGCAGTTAGGGACAAGCACATGAGCTCCGTGCGGCACGACGCTCGCGCACGCGCCCCGCGCGAGTACGGCAGCCGCGACAAGCCTGCCCCCTGGGCTGCCGAGAGCCGAGCTGTCGCGCCTGCAGCTGCGCTGGGCCCCTGGGCTGGAGCCATCGGTACTGCCACCCCCAGCCAGTGGCGGGGCTGGCAAGAGTGGACCTCGTGGGAGCGGCGAGATACCCCATGGACGGACTTCGATTGGAAAGGCAGGGGCAAACGATATTCCCCAAGAGGGGGCGACCGCGACTCGGACGAGCGGGCCCGCTGGTGGGCTAAGAGTGACTCCGACGCCCAAGGCTGACGTGCCCCCGACACGGCCTACCTCCGCGTCCTTAGCGGGGACCTGCCCATGGACACTTGTTCCTTCCCCCCGCCTCCAGCCACCCGTTGCCCCGAAGGGGCTTGTTTCACCTCGCTGCGCCCGGCTCGGGCCGTAATGCCCGGGGCCGCCCTCCGCCGGGGCGAAGGCTCGCCCCCGCTTCTCACCCGTGGCGCAGCTTAGCTAGACAGCCCACGCTGGACAAGTGGACCACCATCCTCCTTTTCGGGCCTGACACGGGGGGGCCCCCCCACAAGCGCCCGACATCTCACCCTCGCTGGCACGGCGGGGCCCGCCTGGCTCGCGCAAGCAGGCCTCCCTGGCTCCCAGACTTTGCTGTCCGATGACGACGGCCGGCTCGCGTGCCATGGGCAGGCGGTGGGCCGCAGCATCCCCCCCGCCTGCCTGGCGGCGAGCTCGACCTAGCTAGGTCGCAGTTTTGTCACACTGCAGGCGCACAAACATCAGCGGCGGTGAGCTGCGACCGCCCCCGCAGAGGTGCCAGTCTCCGCGGGGGCAGACCAGCATTCAGCGTGGCAGGGCGTCCACTCTGGACCGCACCATCGAACGGCGCCAACACCGGGCGAAGGACCTATCACTCGTTACTATTGGCTCTCGAGCGGCGGTTAGCTGCGACCCTGGAGGACCCTTGAGAATGGCGACCGTGTCCCTTGACAGACAGATCTGGGGCCCGTGCGAGGGGCGTTGAGGTGCTTCCCCTCGCCTCTCCCCTCGGGCCCCTCTCGGGCCAGGCGGGCGTCCCCCGCCCTTGGCCCCCGGGGCTCGCCAGGCGTGCCGACTGACGCCGTTGGCTTCGCCTTCCCCCCCCCCCCCCCCCTCCCCAGGACCGCCCGTGGCCCCCGCTGTCCGTGGGAAGGTTCCTCACTTTCAGCGGCGGTTAGCTGCGACCCTGGAGGCCCGCGTGGCGCGTGGTTGACGGCGTCTTGACGGCGACCCCGAGTCCCGCGGGGAAGGGCGGAAGCGGCGGACTTGGTCGGCCCATGGTGGCCGTCGGCCCTCGCGGCTGCTACAGCGCGGCTTCCCCCAGGTCGCCCCGCCCGATTGCAATGGTTCTCCCACGGCGCCCCCCTGGATCCCCCTGCCTCGCCGGCGATGCTCACCGCGCCTGCCTGGCCTTCTCTAGCCCACCTGGCCTGGCGCTGTGCCGTTGTCCACGGGGCCGGCTCGCGGTCGTTCGGGGGCTGCCGCGTGCACTGTCTGGTGGACTTTTGGGTGCTGTGATCGCAACGGAGTGGTTCAGCCTTTCGAAGCAGCAGCAGCACCCTGGGCCCGTCCCCCCGCTCTCGGCAGGTCGCGTCGTTCCACGTTCCTCGGCGGCTCAGCCCCCCTAGCCAGCACGCGTCGTTGGGACGGATTGAGCTTGGCGCCCCACTGGCGACTCTCTCATCGGGCTTCGCGCCTGCCCCCACCCAGTATGACGGACACGTTTGCCCCGGTACACGTCATGTCGCTGTGTGGGTCATGCCTCATGGCAGGCACCGAATTTCTCGACATTTTGTCCACTGCGCGTGCCCGAGCTTCCCAGGATGCCCCCCGCCGTCAGCTTCCCCACAGCCCCGCGGCTGCGTGAGTGGGCCAGTCGGCTAGCGGCGCCTCTTGTAGCTAATTCGGCTTGCCCGTCGGCCCGGACACCCTGTTCGCCGCGCGCGCTCTTCGCTCGTGGCCGCGACCGAAAAAGTAACCCCATCAGCTCCGTCTTAGGCCGTAATTTAGTCCGCTGCTCGTTAGCCGCGCTTTGACTTGACGCCGTGCGACGTCTCGCTACGGTCGCGAACAAGAAGAACCCCCACCAGCCCATCCGGAAACGATGCCCAGAGGAATTGCCTCGATCAGGGAAGTGGGCAGCACGCGGGGGAAGAATCCCCCAGTGGAGGCTTCTTGGAGCGTCTTGGGGGCCTCTTGGCGGTCCCAGGCGCCTCTTAGAGCGCCTTGGGTGCCTCGGAGAGCTTCTTGGAGCCTCTTGGGGGTCTCTTGGGAGACTCTTGGAGGCCTCTGCTGGGGCCTCCTGGGGCCTCCTGGGCGCCTATTGGGGCCCTCCTGAAGCGCTCTTGGGAGCCTTGGGGGCGGTCTTAGAGCCTTATTGGGCCATCTTGAAGCCATCTTGAGGCCTCGGATGGCCATCGGAAGCGACAAGGCGAGACAGCCACAAGCATTGATTCCCCGAAGGTTTTGGAAGGATTTTGGTCTCTTCGAGGCCTCCTGGGGGAGTTCGCTGGCCACTTGGAGCCGTCTTGAAGCGGTCTTGGGGCCTCTTGGAGCATCGTGGGAACCGTCTTGAGGCATCAGGGGATATCTCGAGCCATCTTGGAGGTCATCTTGGCCTCTCCCAGACGCTCTTGGAGTCATCTTAAGCAGCGCCCCCCCCCAGAAGGCCAACTTGTGGCCAAAACCTTAGTAACATCAGGGATTTTGGTATTCTCGCCGAGGCGTGCTGAAGCGTCTTGGGTGCCTCATGGGGGCCTCTTGGGGCCTCTTGGGGGTCTCTTGGGAGCCTCTTGGGGGCATCCTGGGGGCCTCTTGGGGCCTCTTGGGACCTCCTGTCCACCTCTTGGGGCCCTCTTGGGGCACCCTTGGGAGCCTTGGGAACGCTCGTGGGGCCATCTCGGAGGAGATCGATCAAAGAAGGGCGGGTCCCTCAATTAGCGCTGCCCCCCCCCCAAGAGGCCAAAATGGGCCCACACCCTAGTGGAACCAATGATTTTGGCATCCTCGCCGAGGCCGTTTTGGACGCTCCAACGACCCGCGAAATGCCCCGTCCAGGTCCAGGGGAGGGGGTCGGGGGAGGGGTAAACCCTTCCCGAAGGGGAAGAGGGAGGGGTGGAAGAGGAAACACCCTAAACCACCTACGCCCTGAAGGGCTGGTGGGATTTTGGTCAGAACGCACCCTGGACAGGTCCGGGTGGCGTTTTTGAATAGCAGACGACAGTGGAGGCGACGACGACGACGACGGCGACGATTTCTACTATCCTGGTTCTGCGGCCCATCCTGTCACCGTGCCTGGGTTAGGTGTTAGAGGCCTCTTGCACATCTCTTGGGGTCTCTCGGGGTGCCTCTTGGGGAGGCCTCTGGGAGGCCTCTGAGGGGCCTCTTGGGCGGTCTCTTTGGGCCAGCTGGGCGCCTCCAGGGGCCTCTTGGGGGCCTCCCTGTGGTCTGGGGGGCCATCTTGGCACTGGATGGCTTCTGGGGCCAGTTCGGGGTCCACCCTCGGGGCCCCTGTAGGAGCATCCACTGTACAATCTCGAGGGATATCCACGATTCAAGACTGAAGGATAGGTGGGGCCTGATGACTCCCGACTCAGCTGCTATTTCAAGTGGCACGACAACGACGACGACGAGGCCTTCCAAATACGGAAGAGGACATCAGACAGCTGCCGAAAACACCAGGCAGTCGGCATACCACCTGCAGAACACCTCTGAACATGTGTGAGCGACGCAGGGAAAACTAGGCCTGACGCGCGGACATTTGCGCACAAGCCGCCCGCGTGAATTCGCACATCAGCGCCCTCTCTTGAACGTGGCCCGCCTTTTTGGCGGCCTACGTGAGCTGCCACGTAAGGTAGCCGTGTCCTCACGCGGAAGTCCCAAGGTTTCCGTGGTCTCGTCGTCGCTCTCGTGCGGAAGCCGACGGCGATGACGGCGGGGGCTGTGACGGCCAGGCCGAGGTGCAGATGCGCAGCCGCGCGGACGCCGAGGTCGCCCAGCAGGCGCTTGACGGCGCGACGAACGACGATCGACGATCAAACGATCTTCGCCGTCGTCGTCGTCGTCGTCGTCGTCGTCGTCGACTTTTCGTTTCGGAGGTCTGTGTGGCGCTTCTGGAGGTGTTCGTCGCTTACTACTGTGCGCGGCTCGAACAGATCGGCCAGGATGGGCAGCTGGCGGTCAGGGGACCGATCTTCAGCGGAATTTGGTCGGACGACGACGTCGTCGTCGTGGTCGTGATCGTCTTCGTCATATTCGTCATGTTAGTCGTAGCCGTGGTGGTGATCATCTTCGTAGTCGTACATCGTGTTAGTGGTCGCCTTCGTCGTTGGAGGGGGATGGGGACGGGGGAGGAGTGACGAACGAGGAGGGAGGGGCGAGGGGATGGGGAGGAGGATGCAGAGGGGATGGGAGAGGAGAGGAGGAGGAGGCGAGAGATGAGGAGGGGGCGAGGGGATGAGGGAGGAGGGAGGACAATCGAGAGCAGAGGAGGGAGGGGCGAGGAGAGTAGAACGTAGGACGAGGAGGACGGAGGAGGAAGAGGACGACGGAGGAGGAGGATGACGGATGAGGAGGAGTAGGAGGACGGAGGAGGAGGGGGAGGAGGAGGGGGAGTAAGAGGAGGAGGACGACGGAGGAGGAGGAGGAGGACGACAGAGGCGGACGATGACGAGGACGAGGACGCGGAGCAGCAGCAGCAGCAGCAGAAGAGGGGATTTGGGAGGGGGGATAAGGGGGAGGAGGTACATTATGCCATTCTGCTGCTGCTGATTGTGACGGCGACGACGACGACGACGGTGACGGTGACGGTGACGTTGCTGTTGACGGTTGTAATTCATTCATTCACCACGTTTGGCAACCACAGCTCGAGTGAAAGAGCACGCCTCGATCTCTGCTGGGCAGCCCCTGAGCAGAGGGGCGGATGGCTGCCTGCGCCCACATCTGCAGGACAGAAGACACTGACGAGCGCACGCGGGGTGAGCAGAAGTTATAGATTTCCTCTTGGGCGTGCTGACACTGTCCGACCGAGCCGCCTTCTGGCTCCCGTGGCAGGACGAGGCATGACGATGTTCCAACGGGAAGAGGGATTTGCGTGGCCGCCCTCGAACGCGACCTCGTCACCAAGAAGCTCGCGCTCGACGGCAACCTGAGGCCAGGTACCTCGGCGACCAGTTTTAGCAACGCGTGATTGCCACGACGAGGCAAGGCAATGCACATGAGCCTTGGTGATGATTGGGATGACGATTGGGATGACGATGGTGACGATGGGGGATGCCAGATTCCCTGGTGATGGTGGTGATGATGATTGGGATGACGATGCCAAGCACGAGCATGCGGAATACGTGGAGGGTGCTATAATCTAGTCTGGTTGTGCTGATGATGCCGATGATATGCTTCAGGATGATGTCGACGATGTCGACAACGGCGACGATGGCGATGGTGATGATAACAGTTGTGACGATTCCGGCGACTACAACTTGCATGGGTCCCTCAGTATTGCCAAGGCGATGATGAGGCTGTTGTTGTTGGTGATGATGACGGTGATGCGGCTGACGGTGATGCTGTCGATGGTGGCTAAGGTGATGTGGGCAACGACGATCACAGCGATGATGGTATGGACAATTGTGGGAATGATGTGGACGACGATTTTGACGATGATGACGATGTGATGCTGATGATACTGCTGCCGCTGCTGCTGATGATGACGATGACGATGATGGTGGTGATGATGATGATGATGATGATGATGACTTCGACTTCGGCGACGAGGATAAGGATAACGATGACGGTTATGGCCACGAGGAGGATGAGGGGAGATTTCGGAACCAGGTGCTCAGCGGCAAGTGGATGGGCACCCGCTACATCGAGGTCTTCCTCCGCGCCCTCATTCTCCGCCTCCTCCGCCTTTCCCTCATCTTACTTCACGCCCTCCTTTCTCTTTACCCTCTTCCATTCAGCGGTAGAAGCCTTACGATAGGCCAGCTGTGTATCGCCCCCAAATGGATACCCATCATAATCTTGCCAGATCATTGCGAGCTCACTTAAGGATAGCCTCGACGTTGCATGGGCGCTCACCACTAATAGGACTTTACCAGCCTACCGATCAATCTGAGACCACGCAATGACTACTTCGAGGCACATGCCGTTGCTATAGTCATGGATCTGTCGGACCACAGCAAGACGCGGCAACAGAAAGACAATCGGTCTTGCGTAACCTAGCCTCAGCAAGCAAACCCGCCCACTTCAGCTGAACCTTTCGATCCTCCAACGCACTCTTCTCCGGCCTCTCATTTGACCAAGGCCTGCGAGGATCATGATCAGTCCCTGCGAAGTGCACGTCGAAGGGTTGCGCCTTACGCCCATGCGTCGTGCGCAAATCCAACAGAACTGTCCGTGAGGCTGACTTTAAATCAGACGCCTGCAGCCAGTATAATTCTGCCTCGCGGGACAACGCCATGCAACCTCCATTTGTGGTTTTTCGCTACCTAGTTCAGCTTTGACATGGTTCAGCCACACCGGACCACGATGCGGCCTCGCTAACCGTCCGATCACATTAGACTGGCTATGACTGCTCATCACCTGCCGCAGCGATGTGTCATTGGTGGTCGCTTTTGGTTCAATCCGCAGCCTGACCAGTATGACGATCTCCAACTATCTCCAGCATGTTACATGGAACAGCCATTTTTGCGCACATAGGTGAGTACACCAGACGACGATGTATCATTGCAGTCACCACGCTCTCCTCCAATATCTGGATGCACCATACGGTGGTTAGGATCACATTCATGCTTCAACATCTCGACCAACACTCCGACATCCCCTCGCCAGGAATCGTCACGGACGCGTCAGATGCCATGTCCCACTTCACGGAGCCGGTCTCACTGTCTAGGGCACAGGCTGGGCGGCGACTAAATCCGCGTCATCGTTGTTGATGCTAACCTGTGCAGAGTTATCGACACCTCTGGCGTATCACTGCACATCGTGACGTTGACATCTTGCCGGGTCTCCGCTCTCGTGGCCCACCTTGTTTCCCTGCAGGAGCCACACTTGGCGAATCGGACGTTGCGTGATGGTGGGGCGATACATGAGGGGGTGAAGACAAGTGCACCTTTTGTATCCTAAACGCCCCCCCCTGGGGCCCAAAAGGAGCACGAAAGGTGCACGTTTCTCCCACGCAACCCCCCATTTATCGCCCCCCATTAAACAACGCCCAAGTGAAGTGGCCTGGCCTCATCCACGGGCAAGGCGGTTGGCCCCACCATGCGGGCTCCACTGCCATGGCGCATGTGACCACTGCGGAATGGCGCCGTCGTCGACACGGAGCACGCACGAACGACGTGGTCATTGTGCCCTGACGTTGCAATCCGCCCTGCTCTGTTCTCCAGTTGGTACCTGGGCTGATACCAGTCGCTCTCCACTTTTCCTATCGTTCGCCACCTGTCGCGTTTTCCCGCGCTTGACCATAGGTAGCATCACAAAACTTCGCCCTGCGACTTACCAATCCCATCTACAACAAGTTTCCAGAACAATTTGCCAATGTGTCACGGACGATTTGTTTTGCAATATACATGGGAGGCTTACGCTTTGCACGACTCACGCGGCACGTTTGAGTGAGGCAGGACACTCGAACATTGCATGGTATGGGTGACATAGAAGGAACGATGACCGAGGATGCCACAGTTGCGCAGTTCGCAGCCCCCAGGGAGGGCAGGGTCTCATCCCTACTTACGTATGACGTTACTCCGCTGTGCCTCCCAGGAGCCTGTGAGAGTGGCGATAGTTTCGGAGTTCGCAGCCCCCTATGAGGGCGAAGTCTCAGTCTGACCGCTGGGCCTCCCAGAAGCCCGCGAACGTGACGAGAGTTTCGAAATTCGCAGCCTGCAGGGAAGGCAATGCCGTCATTCTGATCAGCGTGTGACGTCATTCCGTTGGGCCGCCTCTGAGCCCACGAATGTGGCGAGAGTTTCGTTGTTCGTTCCCCTCAGGGAGGGCGATGTGTCATTCTTATCGAAGGCGCCTACGGCGAATCACCGCCGCCCCCTGCCTTTTGGGAAGCGCCTCTGTGGCCAAACATTGGGGCCCGGCTTGGCCAAGCTATCGGATTATGCATTCCCCCAGCCGCCCTGGAAACTCTTCAGGAAGCACTCGGGGGAGGATGAGGGGGAGGACCAGGAGAGGGATAAGGATGATGATGATGGTGCTGATGCTGATGATGAGGCTGATGATGATGCTGATGATGATGCTGATGATGACGATGCTGATGACGACGATGATGATGATGCTGCTGATGATGATGATGCTGATGCTGCTGCTGCTGCTGGTGATGATTATAATGCTGATGCTGATGCTGATGCTGCTGCTGATGTTGCTGCTGCTGATGGTGATGACGATGATGAAGATGATGACGCTGCTGCTGCTGATGATGATGATGATGATGATGATGATGATGATGATGATGAGGATGATGATGATGATGCTGGTGGTGGTGGTGGTGGTGATGATGATGACGATGATGATGATGATGATGATGAGGAGGAGGAGGAGGAGGAGGAGGAGGAGGAGGAGGAGGCGGAGGAGGCGGAGGAGGAGGAGGAGGAGGAGGAGGAGGAGGAGGAGGAGGAGGAGGAGGGAGGAGGAGGAGGGGAGGGGAGGAGGAGGAGGAGGAGGAGGAGGAGGAGGAGGAGGAGGAGGAGGAGAGGAGGAGGGAGGAGGAGGAGGTGAGGAGGAGGAGGAGGAGGGTGGGGGAGGGGGAGGGGGAGGTGGAGGGGGGGGGGGAGAGGGTGGGGGAGGGGGAGGGGGAGGGGGAGGGGGGGGGGAGGGGGAGGGGAGGAGGGGAGGAGGGAGGAGGAGGAGGAGGAGGAGGAGGAGGAGGAGGAGGAGGAGGAGGAGGAGGAGAGGAGGAGGAGGAGGAGGAGGAGGAGGAGGAGGAGGTGAGGAGGAGGAGGAGGAGGAGGAGGAGGAGGAAGGAGGAGGAGGAGGAGGAGGAGGAGGAGGAGGAGAGGAGGAGGAGGAGGAGGAGGAGGAGGAGGCGGAGGAGGAGGAGGAGGAGGAGGAGGAGGAGGAGGAGGAGGAGGAGGAGGAGGAGGAGGAGGAGGAGGAGGAGGAGGAGGAGGAGGAGGAGGGAGGAGGAGGAGGAGGAGGAGGAGGAGGAGGAGGAGGAGGAGGAGGAGGAGGAGGAGGAGGAGGAGGAGGAGGAAGGAGGGGAGAGGAGGAGGAGAAGGAGGATGGGAGTAGGAGTAGAGTCAAGCTAGCCAGCTCGAGCGAGTCAAGCGCGGCATGCCTATTCCCACCCGCCCTCCCACAACATGAGAAACAGTGCTGGCGCAACTGGGGACAGACATCAGATCGGCAAGGTGGTATGCCACAGCTGATGCAGCCGCGATGGCGGTTACCGATGGGGAACTCCCGGCGCGTCTCAAAGACTGCGCTGGCATTTCAGCACGAGCCGAGGAAGCCTCAGGAATCCCCAGGAGGCCTCAGGAGGTTGCAGGAAGCCCCAGCGAATCCCAGGAAGCCCCAGGAGGCTTAGGAGGGCCCAGGAAGCCCCAGGAGGTTCCAGGAGGCTCCAGGAAGCCCTAGGAGGTGTCAGGAACCCCCAGGGAATCCCAGGAATTCCCAGGATGCTTCAAGAGGCCACAGGAGGATCCATGAGGCCCGGGGAAGCCCTGGGAAGCCCCATGATATTCCAGGAGACCCGGGGAGGCCCCAGGGGGCCCCAGGCGCTCGACGAATTGGCAAACGGAAAATGTGCGCCGCGTTTCAGTGGAAGCGCAACTTTCAGAAAGGATGCGCGCGGCGCCGAAGCGGGAACGACATTTCGCCCTGTCGCGCGCGATGTGCATCGCGCCCCATTCGCGCCATGCATGCCGCAAAGCCGACAACAAGAAAGTCTTCGCGGAGAAGAAACATGTCGACTTTGTACAGGATGGCCCCTCCCGCTTGGGGTTGCCCCAAACGTCCGCGCGCGATGTGCGCCGCGTCCCAGTCCTTCTACGCATGTCGCATCGTCGACGACAAAACAGGCCACGTTGAGAGGAGCACGTGGGATGGGAGGGCCCAGATTGACGTCCGCGCGATGTCCGCAGCGTCCCATCCCTGCCACGCATTTCGTATCGTCGACGACAAGACAGGCCATGTTGAGAGGAACAACGGCGACGTTGTTGGATTTTTTCGGTCAGGATGGGACCCCCCGGATGGGGTTGCTATCGGCCGGACAGAGGGGGGATTAAGAGTATATTCTAGTTGGGAATACGGATGCGAGGACGAGGAAGAGGAGGAGGAGGAAGAAGAGGAGGAGGATTTTTTTTGCTGTGGATCGCTGCCCGTCAAGCGAGAAGAGGAGGAGGAGGAGGAAGAGGAGGAGGATGAGGAGGACGAGGAGGAGGATGATGATGATGAGGAGGAGGAGGAGGAGGAGGAGAAGGGGGAGGGGGAGGGGGAGGAGGAGGAGGAAGAGGAGGAGGAGGAAGAGGAGGAAAAGGAGGAGGACAAGTATGCCCAAGAGGCATCACCGATGTTGGAGTAAACCCTCCCTTCAAGCTCCCTTTCCACAGGCCCCTAAAACGATTCTTTTTTACCGAGTGGGTTGCCTCGTTGGAAGACAACTGTTTGAATACCCTGAACGCCATTCCTTGGACGTGAGCGTCGCGAACCAACATAACCGGTGCACCCCCATTAGCCAGACTCCTTCCAGAAAGCCGTTTCTGGTACGTTGATCATGGGAATCCCTGGAAGTCTTGCACATGTTTAAGACGAATGTGCGCCGCGTTACGGCGAGCGCCACAATTTGAAAAGGAACCGCCTTCAACCCGTGCAAATCTAGTAATTGTTTAAGACGAATGTGCGCGGCGCTAAGGCGAGAGCCACAT